GGATAAGCTAAATTGTCCGTAGTGTATGTGTGTAAATGAGAGAGTATGGGTGTTTCCCACTGATGGGCTGCAGCTGGAAGGGCATCAGCTGCGTAAAACATATGCTGGATTAGTTAGCTGTTTATTCCACTATGGTGACCCCGGATTAAGGGTAAAGGGACTAAGCTAAAAAGAAAATGAATGAATGAGTGAATGTTGGAAACCTGCAATCACTGACATAAATACTAGAAACAATTACTATGGAAGTCAATGGCTGCTCTTTTCCAACATTCTTCAAAATATCTTCTTTTGTGTTCAACAAAAGAAAGAAACTCAAACTAGTTTAAAACAAGTGGATGGAAAGTAACATATGACAGAATGTTCAATTTTGGATGAACTGTCTCTTTAAATGTTAAAAGGGCAATGGCAATTTTTACTAGCAAATAACCAGTATGATGCTAAGTCATTTTAAGTCATGCTAAGCGTGATAAGTCATTCACACTTACTGCATCTCAGCTCCATTTTGTTGCTATGGTTACAGGTCATGCAGAACAACCACATAGCTTCAGTGACTCTCTACGGAGCACCACGTCCAAGTAGTCTGGCCCGTGTCGAGCAGAGTACCCACTGAGGAAGCCGCCATGCCCACGGTGCCCGTCCAGCCCTGCAGAGCCTCTGAACTGACCAGTAGAGTGTGCCTTCACTCACTGCTGCCATCACACAAGCTAAAGCAAAGACATGCTGGGAGTTTCTCTAGAGTTGTACTCACCCCCCCACTTCGCTTCATAATAATTGGGTCTTCTCGATAACAACATGGAGGCTTCATTCAGCCTGCTAAACTTCATGCTTACCCCAGACATGCATCAGCGTCAGCATCGTTCTAGTACTTTTGTGGATGCGCAGTGATCATTTTCCACACAAGCATATTGTGTTTTCTATTCTTTCATTGCCTGACCTTCTAAATTTCCATACCAGACACACCAAAGGGCAAACACTGAAGCGAGTTTTCCTCTGCACGCTAAACACTTTAACAAAAAACGCACATGCTTTCAACTTCATTTGCTTTCCGATCTGCAGAGGATGAACGAGGACAGACTTTGGCCGCATAAATTCAGTGTTTCGTATGCATTTACGTAAGGTTACAAGCACAAGCTAGCACGGTGTGGATCCAGTGCTGTGAAAAAACATGGCACATGAGCAGGCTCACATGCATACATACATACATACACACACATACATAATGATTCATAAGCTCCTTTCATATCAAGTCAGAAGAAATTACCTCCCATTTCAGTACTTTACATCCGCTTCTGTTGATGTTTTGTTGCTCATGAGCGCATTAGTTTTGAACATTTGCACTAAAATACACCTAATTTACTTGATAATTGTCTCCTGTCCACTGAGGAACGTTTTAATTGCAAGTCTCAGAGAGAGAGAGAGAGAGAAAGGATGGCGGGGGAGGGAACGACAACAACGAAGACGTGCAATCTGGATTTCAAAGCGAAGAGGACTGGACAGAAAAGCCATCCACCCATTGCTGTTTCTTTCTCATTGCCGTCAGTTGTGTTTGCTTTTTTTGTCCACGGTAGAAAAGATGTGAAGTTCTTTGACCTTATTCAGTATCTTAAAAGTCTTAACTGCAGAACTGTCTTCTGTTTGCCTGATTGCCAAAACATTAGCCAAAGAAGAAACAATTTCGCTCCTTTCATTTTAAATACGTAAGAACATTCCCTTTTTAATTGACCCACACAGTCCCTGAATTGCTTTAGCATAGCCACTCCATTGATTTAAACCAATCTTTTTCCTCTTGCTTTCTAACATAGTTGTTTCCGTAGCAAGTAGACGTGATGCATTCTGTACAGATCTGTAAATAGCTTGCACAGTTTTCATTGTTTCGTCTGGCTGACGTCTGGATATCCCTAACATACTGAGAGTTTCTGGTTTTCTTTTCTCCGCCACTGTTGTTCCAGATGGAGTAGCCCACATTTGACCACTTTCAGGAGGGTTTGGCTGGAGCAAGTGGTTTGTTCACCTCTAACTACCGCTCATTGCCGTGACACGTAGCCGCACATGGCTGTTAAGTCATTCCCACCTCCCTTCGGGCCTCTGCAGTGTGAGCTTCAGGCTAATTCGGGCATTTTTAGCTTTCCGTTACTTTAACTTTTCAACAACTGCTCTGGAAGGCTGTCAGCGGTGTTTTAATTCAATTTTAGCCGTTAGCTTTTGGTCATTTGCAAGGAAGATACTAATTTAACATTGTGCCTCATCTCCCACCGAGCCTGTCTTGACTTTTATCTCTGTAAATTAAATGGTTTGAACTGCTTTGTGTATGTCTGAGCATGTAAAGCTACATTTTGATAGTCAGTGTCCTTTTGTTCTGGAAGAACGTACCTGAATATGAGGATTTAGGGAGAAATGGACTTGTTGGGTCTTGAATTTGTCACGGAGGGCTGTTTTCAGTGGTTTTAAATTAAATAATAAACTCAACAAACCAAGGTGGCCCTTCCTGATTTGAAGTTCATATAGTGGTTGTTCTGTTTCTATTGAAATACAATTACAGTTTTGGAAGTTTATCTTTAAATAGTTTGGTTATTCTAAAATAAATAATTTTGTCATGATTTTCAAGTCTTGTGATTTTCAACTCATGCTTTTAATGTCATTTGAGAGATTTCAGTTCCTCAATTGAAAGTCTTTTAATTCGAAACTTGTTCATAACAGATAACACACTATGAATCCATATGAATTGAGTGATTTAATCCCACATGATGGGATTATATGGTTAACAGATTTAATCTGTAATCAATTAGCGAACAACGCCTACCGCATTACAGTTTGGTTCAAGAATCTCAACCAATGAGGTTTGTTCTTGCATGTCACATGGGCATGATTGAGTTATTGCATGAACCAATGAGGTTTGCAAGTATGGTTGAGCTTTTTAATGTTTATATATAAATAAAGGCCTAAATTAAATCTGTCCATCACCTGCAATTGTGTTCTGAAGGCTCAGAAATAGCACACTTGCTATATTTAGATTGCATGTTTTGGAGTGTGAGTTTTCAGTAAACAGACTTTCAATGGAGGAATTAAAAATGTCTTTTGTGTTTTGAAGTTCTTATAGGTTTGGCTTGACATAAGATTGAATAAATGACAAAAAAGTTCATTTTGAGTTAAACTAACCCTTTAATCAGTTTAAATATGGCTAGATCTTAAACACAATCTTAAATTGGAGCATCCATTTGCCATCAGGAACAACACAACCACTGTTTTAGTGTCATTTAGGGAGTGTGGTGTGATTGCCTGCCCAATCTCAGGTGGATGTTTTTTTTTGTGCCAGGAGCAAGCGAATGATTTCATCAAATGGGTTTTGGCTGTATTGTTTTGTCTTCAGATTTTATCCTATTTTTGCATCGGAATGAGTGAATGAATGATTGTCCTGAGGATTGTACTTAGAAATGGACAACCTCCATACAGTGTAATGCGCATATTAATGCTATGTATTGTATTCCTCTATATTGTATCTTCTTCTTCCTCATCCTCCAAAGTGATTATTTTTTGTGGATTCAGTACATTAAACCCGTTTCTGGAAATGGGACTTATCCTCGATAACAAAAACAAAAAAACAAAGTGTGTATCTAAATCGATTTCAATGTGGTGTTTTATATCTCAGATATTTTTACTTCTGTAGATTTAAGAAACATGTACACAGAAAATCAATTTCAGGCATTTCTGTTCTTTGTTTCTTTTCGTTTTGTTTTTAAAGCAATAATCATTGCGTTGTTGGATTATAAATCTGAATGGTCTGATATATGTTTGTCAAAAGTTTAGAACGGCGTGGTCATTGGATTTAAGTTTCCACATTGAATCTACTGAAAGCATTATCAGTTTTTTTTTAACTGCTAATTTTGCATTTTGTTCATTAAAACTGTTACAGTGTGTTCAACAAAAATATTTAAGGAATGGATGTAATAAATATGGGGGAAAGAATGAAGGCTTCCTTCGTCTTTTTTTTTTCCTTTTTATTCACTTAAAATAAAGTTAGATTGAAGTAGTAAGTTCATGTTCACAGCAGGCTACTTTCAGTTTAATCTAAACCCATAATACAGCAGATCGTCTGCAACAAGGCAGCACACCAGTCAAAGAAATGAGTGCTCAGTTTGATAAAATAGTGCCATGTGTCTAATTTCTGATATTTACAGCTTCAGTTATTGAATAACACAGCACAATGTATACGAAAGAGGATTAACATAACATTAGCAACCACAGCAGAACCTTGCCGCTTTTTAAAAATTTCTCTTATTATTACTAGACTTACCCCTATCTACTGATTCGCTGCAAGTGTTATAGGACATACACCACCTGACTAAAAGTCTTGTCGTCGATCCCAGTTGTAAAAACAACAAATAATATCTCGACTTCTAGTTGATCATTTTAAAAGTTGCAGAAGGTAGATTTTTTTCTGGTGAATCATCTGTTGAACTGCATCCCAATCATCACAAATACTGCAGAAGACCTGTTAGAACCCACATAGACCCATGATTCTCATAGAAATCAGTCAAGTTTGGTGAAGGAAAAATCATGGTTTGGGGTTATATTCAGTATGGGGGAGTGCTAAAGATCTGCAACAAGAACAGCCTGAGGTATCAAGACATTTCTGCTGCCCATTACATTACAAACCACAGGAGAGGGCAAATTTTTCAGCAGGATATCGCTCCTTCTCATACTTCAGCCTCCCCATCAACGTTCCTGAAAGCAAAGAAGGCCAAGGTGCTCCAGGATTGGCCAGCCCAGTCACCAGACATGAACATTATTGAGCATGTCTTAGGCAAAATGGAGGAGGAGGGATTGAAGATAATTGCAAAAAATCCTGATGTACCGGGAGTCCTGCAAGAACACTTTTTTGCCATTCCAGATGACTTTATTAATAAGTGATTTGAGTTAATGTAGAGATGTATGGATGCAGTCGTCCAAGCTCATGGGAGTCATACACAATATTATCCACTACACCATGACTTTATATTCTTTACTGTACATTATTTCTGTTAAGTTACAAGACTTTTGCCTAAATAAAGTCAGACCTTACTGTCCTGATTAAATAATTAAAAATCAAGGCGTGGTCATAATTTATTTTGGTAAAATAAGTGTAAACTAGAGGACTTGCCTTTCACATAAGCCACTTCTTATGCCAAATGATCAACTAGAAGTCAAGTTATTGTTTGTCAATCCTAAAACCTGGATAGGCGACAAGACTTTTGTCAGGTAGTGTAGTTTATACATCACAAATGCTTGTGGTGAGAGATTCTCAAGCAAGACGATGTGACCAAAAATGTAGCTCCCGTATTCCAAAACTTGTCCAAAAACAGAAGAAAAACTCTGGCTGTTTATTTCTATCTTGAACACGCTTTCTTATCCCCATATGAACTGAAGTACTTGACGCTCGCCTGTTGGCTTTTTTTCATTGGATCAGTCTTTACGGTGTTCTTTCTAGTCACAGTACAGTTAATGCTCCACAAACACTTTCATCCTGTAGTCCCTATTCCTTAGATTCTCCTCTACCTTGTTTCTAGCCATCTTGCCGATTTTATGACTCCACTGAAAGGGCAAAACTGTGGGATCCTGACTCCTGTGACACTAAAAGTTAGGGTTATACAGAAGGTTCCACATGAGCCAAATCTAGGGGACAGTCAGGCTGTGCACCACCATCAGCTTTCTATAGAAGTAGGGGTCAAACACCTAGAGGTGCGGTGCAGCTGATGGTTTCACAATCCCGCAATTACGGAAACCCTCATGGCTGGTCAGCTGAAGGCAGTATGAACGGGGCTCCTTCTAGTCACAGTACAGTGAAGAGTTAATGCTCCACAAACACTTTCATCCCATAGTCCTTATTCCTTAGATTCTCCTCTGCCTTGTTTCTAGCCGTCTTGCCAATTTTTTCACTCCACTGAAAGGGAAAAACTGTGGGATCCTGACTCCTGTGACACCGAAGGTTAGGGTCATGCAGAAGGTTCCACATGAGCCAAATCTGGGGGACAGTCAGGCTGTGTACCACCATCAGCTCTCTGTAGAAACAGGGGTCAAACACTTGAAGGTGCGGTGCAGCTGATGGTTTTACAATCCCGAAGGTGCGGAAACCCTCGTGGCGGGTCGGCTGAAGGCCAATTCTCAGCAGGCACATGCCCAGAAAGACGTCATCAATGGGGAAGAGCTCCACCTCTTTGCAGGCGAGGTGGAGCTTCAATGCGGTGTGTCCTGACATGACAAATCCACCTCCTCCCGCATAGGATGGATAGATCCCCTGGCCGTAAATAAACTCAGGCACAAAGTACTTACTACTGCGTCTGCGAATTGGTTTCGCATGGACAATGATGTCACCAACAAAAAGATCCTTATCGATCTCTTGACTCTCAAGCATCTCCAGGATATTGTCAATGTTCACATAAACATCGGCGTCACCCTTAAAAATAAACTTTGTTTTTGGGCAACTCACATTAATCCATTGCAAGAAATGGATTTCTTTTAGTGTCAGGTTGAAGAAGGTGTCTTCAAAGTCCCACAAGAGGATGTCCCCAAAAGTGTGGCTCTCGTATTCCAAAAGTTTGTCCCATAATGGGAGCGCTGACTGATTTTGGGGCACACCAAGAAGAAAAACTCTCTTGATGTTGATGTTTTTCTGGAACACCCCTTCTCGTCCCCATGTACGCCGAACAACCTGGCGTTTGTCGAAGTCTGTTGTGACTGATTTTATTGCGATCAGCATGTAGGGGGCGCTTTCTGGTTCAGAACACTTTGTTGGCTGATCAATTAGCATCTTAAAGTCCCGCTGGTCTTTCTTTCGAAGGTAATCAGCAAAGTCAAAAGAATGTTGTGTTGGTAGCAGACTTGCTGTTGTTGAGGCCTGCTGAAATTTTGACTTTGTTTTGCTACGCGCTTTTTGAGGTTTGACCTTTGATTGTCCCTGTGGTTTAGACTTGGTCTGCACTTCAGGCTGGCAAGGTGGTATGTCCAGAGATTTTGTAGGGACTAGCTTTGTCTGCTGTCCCATTGATGCTCCACTGAGGAGGGTCCGTGAGCTGGTTGGCCCATGTTCAATATGCAAAGTCCCCCATGTGGGAGTCACTCTTTGATAGGCATATAACAGCAGAAAAAGCAGCAACATCAGAGTCAGAGAGCAAAGCACATCTCCCTTTAGATAGACCCTTCTCATGATGTAACAGGTTACCTTCCTATTAAAGTTTGAAGTCCTGTATTCTTCCAAAAGGATTTGGATTTTCTCAGAGCCATTGTCATCTCTGCTAAGTACAAAATAAATGAGCAGCAATAGTTAATAACAGTTATAAAATAATGGTTTAAAACTATAAAAAAAAGAATCTGTCAATTTGGTTGTATTTTCCTCCTAAAATATAATTTGTACATCAGTTAACCCGTCTCTAACTAAATTTATAGTTGAGACTTTAGACCTTTAAATCAATTTCCTATTTTATTTGAGAGGCATCACACATGCTTCTTACCACAGTCATCCTCCTGGATATCATCAAACAATAGGAGACACAGGATATTACTTGACCAAAAGTATGCTCCTTAAACAGCCAGGACTGCATACTTCTATGGAACAGGAAAAGCAAACAATTTTTAAAAGGATCAACATCTGACATCTGTGACAAACGTACAAACCAACAAATCTTTTCTGGCACTACAGGGAAAAAAACTGGAGAATGTTGCTGTTTAAAAAAGTTGCCTAAAATGTGCTCTCCATAAAAATGACATGTAAAAATACAGTTGCAATACAGTTTACAAGTCAGTTTTTAAAAAGGTCACTATGACAACCAAATTTAAAAGGAGAAAACAACACAAAAAGTAATTAGGTAAACAAGTACACCCCATTTATTTTCATCATAAAAAAATTTGTTATGATTGTAAGCAGGGATGGGCAAAAATACATTGAAATGCATTTTAAAATAAAATACCAAATACCTCAGTTTTATGAGTATCAAAATAAACTACAAAATACAGCAGCCACAAATGTATCAAAATAAAACACTTTTTTAAAAACACTGCAAAATAGTTTCAAAAAGAAGTATGACATTTCTTCGCAAACCTACAGTCAATGGGTATACATTTTGTACAAATTTCATACAGAACATCCTGTCTTGAAGATGATCCCTTTAATCACTGTAAAAACCATGTAATGCAGATAATGAGTTGGAATATAGTACTACTGTATATCTCTTTATTGTGTTTCCATCCACTGTGTGCTCAATGAAATTGCAACAATGTTTTTAACAGTCTGATATTTAGGGTGATACATGAAGTAGTTATTTTATTTATTTTTTTGTTCTATATATATATATATATATATATATATATATATATATATATATATATATATATATATATATATATATATATATACATATATATACATATATATATATATATATATCTTCTTCAATAACTAATGTACAAACATGAAAACTACTAATATATCTAAAAAAAATGGAATTCTCTGTTTTTGCAAATAAACTAATTTCTTCCAGTAAAAGAAGAAGTGAAAAGAGTTTAATCTCAGTTTGCCCCCTTAGTGAACACCAGTACACAATCTTTAGTTGTTTTATTTTTCCAAACTTCCTCAGCTTTTCCATCTGCAGCACTGAGACTGATCATGTGCTGAAGACTCCACATCCTGTTCTTAAGAACTAATATTTTATTCTATCTCATTTCTTAAACAAAAATGCTGATGCCAAATTGTACACTACTCTATACTGCCATTATAAATTACTGGCCTTGTGAAATATACTATTTTCAATGATTGTTGACTTTTTTTGCCATTTGTCTGTTGTTATTTCTTTATGTGCGTTGCATAATTTCCATCCAGCTTCCAAGCATTGACCACCTTCTTAATGCATTTTCTGTTCTGATCTCAAGCCTAGGCAAATAACTGGTAAAGCATCAATCAGAGGCTACATTTTTATGATGTTATCATTTAGACTTCTTACAAAGCATTTTACAGTATTTTAAAAATACAAAAAAATACAAGACACTAAAGTATTTTGATATAAAATGTTAAGCCATTTTCATAAACTCCATAAAATACAAATTACAAAATACTATTTTGTATTTAAAATAAGTATCATACTGCCCATCTCTGATTATATGGCTGTGATGATTGTCTAATTTAACTAATCCCACATTTACACTGCAAAGATACAACAGAAGTGCCCCAAAAATGCAAATATGTGCTTTAAAACTATGTTTAATGCAGCATAAATACATTTCCACAGCAAATAAACCATTTTTTTACCGGGGCCTGAGGTCGCGGTCCACAATTACTCAGGCTTTTATGAAGCAGCATTCTTCCAGTGAAAAACAAACTGCACACAAATGACTAATTATTTTTCTTTACAAAACGTAATACTTTTAATGAGAACCTGTTTCGTTCAGTTTAGAAGTAAACGAGTTAATTCATTCATATAGTTGCAAATCTGCTATTCGACTCGTTTAATAGCTTTGCACACGAACAACTATTTTCGCAACAAAAATTCATTCAAAACAAACGAGTGATATGTAGTTTGAGGCAAACATGTAGAACTTAAAACACCCTAATTGTAGACAAAATTAAAATTAGCTTACAATTCAAAATCTCCAAAACGTTTGCAAACATATGACAACTTTAATCCCAATTGCAAGTTATGAGACGCGTGTGCGCATCTCTTTTTAAACGACATTAATTTTGAATGACAGTTTCAGGTTTTAGAATTGTTTAGAAATACTTTCATTGGTTTTTAAAATTATCTTTACAAGACTTACCAAGACGAAGGCGTACCAGGAGAGGAATGACAAGACAGAACTGCAACCAGATCCAAACATCTGCTTCCACTAAAGCTGCAGCATGCCACTGCTGTGTGTTCACGTGCTACCAAAACATTTCCAGCTCGCCTACAAGCGCTACCTTACCAAATACACACACTTCGTGCACATTGGCCATTTTATAGGTCTGTACTTCAAGTTACAATCGTAAGGCTTTCTTACAAAGAGCATATTTTCAAAGAACAGCTATTTCCTTGATCACGTGACACCGCTGGATGCGGCGCGCGCCAGATGCCAGCGCAGCAACAGGGAATCGAGAGCGCGCACGAGAATGATGAATTCAGTGGTCAAGTTTCCTAAAACCGAGCGCCTTTCTCTCTTCTAGTCTGTGAAAAACAAACTAGGCTACAACAAAAATGAAAACAAATGTATTTTTATAATAATTTAATTCGTCCAGACAATGCCAGTCGACTTGCACACACATTGAATTTGTACAGAAAATACAGTCTCTTTGGCTATCATTTTGGCTAACACACTTTACGGTCTCTGCATGATTGATCAACTCAGTTATTCCTCTAACACAAAACTGCTTTCTGTGAGAGCTGGATTTTGAATATATTCCCTCATTTAGGCTTTACCCCATTTTCCATCAGGCTTCTGACCACTTTCCAAGATTTCCAATCAGGGACTTGGTCTGATCTTCCAGACTTCTGCATTTGAAGGTCATTTAGGCCCAGATCTTCCTCAGGAGGATGTAGTACCAGCTCTCATGATCTTGAAAAGAGCATTTATGTTGTTGTTCTTGATGGCATCCCGACAAGCTGTGATGACCTGTGATTTGGGTTTTCCCACTGAAAAACAGGATTTTAAATGAATTGATAATGGTTGTAATAACAATTAAACCCTATAAAAAGGGGCAATGTAAGCAATTTATAGATTTTTGTCAAGTGACCCCCACAGACAACCACATCACTGAAGCAAATGACTGTTTATTTTCTAATCTATTTCAAACCAACGTTATTTTTAACCAATCCTTATGCCAAAAGCTACAAGTTATTGTTGTTTTTGATCCATTTAGAGCAGTATTTTAAAGGTGTTATAGAAATTAAAAATCTGTATTGTCTATGCATAGCTGAATAATGAGAGTTCAGTACATGGAAATTACACACCATGAGCCACACACCACTGTATACTGAATTTGGTGCATCAACATCACAAGCTGCATTTCGATTACGATTCAAACTGAAAAATTATACTGAATTGAAAATACCCCTAATAGAAGCAAGTTTCAAAAACTCCCACATATGAAGTTTTTACTTTAAGGTTTTTAAAACCACATGAGGTGGTTTTTCAATCAATTCAAACAAGGAGTAAAAGGGAAAACACTATTTAGCAGAACTTATCAAAACATGAATATCTTCAAAGGCTGTGTAAATAATTTACAGTATTTTTTGAAACGGTCTTCCTTTGTCATAATGCAGCAAGTGCTACAAGATGCTCTACTGCATTTCAGAACAGTTTGATCTGTTCATTGAGAAATTCTGAAACCACAATACCAATTATTAAGATTTAATAAATATTATTAAATCTTAAATATGCATTAGAAGTTGTTGTTTTTAAGTATAAGGAGTTTTCCATGCTATACTCGCTTAATGACATCCCTACAACTCCTTTTAAATACATGGGTGTGATATACCTCAAACTACCAAAATCATCATGATATTTTTTTATGCTCAAAACAGGTGTTACAAATGTCTCTCCATGCAGTGTGTGATGGATAAATTCCTACACTGTAAAAAATGTAATGACAAAAAGTCAAGACAAAAAATATTCCTGTTGCTTTAACTTATCTTAAAAAGTTACTCAGGTTCTAACTAACTTTTTTTAAGTTATACAAAGTTTAACTAAATTTTTTTTTTGTCATTTTCAATTGGGATGACTGGAAAAGATCATTTGATTCAACTAAAAATTGTAAGGCAGCAGGATTTTTTTACAGTGTAGTATTGTTTAGATTAAACTATCACTAATAAGTTCTCTCGGCTCAGGAAAATAAGATCATATGCATGCCAGAATGCATTAACCCAGCATTGTTTTGGATGTCTGGGAAGATGCTTTGTTTTACCCTCCAAGTTGCAATGCCTTTACAATGTGATGTAACAAACACTATACTCATTAAATACTCATTGACATGTTCTTAGGAGTCCTCATAGAATAATCCACCCACCTCTCAACCTTCCTGCCCTTTGAATGGCCTGGTTAACTGATTTTAGCCGGGCGAGAAGGGCGTTGTGGTTATTAGACCTGATTTTATATTCATTAACCAAGTCTCGGTTGAGGTCATACAGCTCAATGTAGCGTTTCTTCATGTTTCTCCTAGAAAACAAAATATAATTTAAGTGAGTGAGTACATGAGTGCATAATTGATGGATCAAAATGATTAATGCTTACCAATCGCCCATGAGTCTGGCATCTTCCGCCTGCACTAGCATATTTCGTATGTAGTTGGAATGATCTGCCATTGCTGCTGTGAGCTTTTGATGCACTGAGTGAAACTCATCCACCTAACATGAACATGAAAAGATTACTACAGGCGAGATCGGAAAGAATAAAACACAGTTAAAGTGATCCTGCTATTCCTAACCTCAGTGAGAGTTGCTCTCAGCTCTTTGAAGTAGACAGGAAAGTCAGATTCAGCTTGTAAGTCTTCGATGGCCAAAAAAGAGGCAAGAGATTGGACTAGATCTCCAGCCAGATCAATGTCATCTGTTCTCAGTGTGATCTGATTAGGCAGAATTAAGATTTTTAAATCATTAAGACAGAGAGTAAATCACAAATACACACAAGCACACATGATAGATGTACCTCTCCACTAGTCTGCAAGCTGATTCTCAGCAGACCTCCTCCTCGCAGTGCACTGAAGGTGACGTCTGGACTGTCGATGCCCTCGGGGAGCAGGAAGTTCTGGTTTAGCCACATGACGACCTGCAGACATACAGATGTAGACAAATTTGTTGGTACCCTTTCATTTAAGAAAGAAAAACGACTAATATGTGATTCATTCATTTTCTTTTAAGCTTAGTCCCTTTATTAATCTGTGGTCGCAACAGTGGAATGAACCGCCAACTTTATCAGCATGTGTTTTACACAGCGGATACCCTTCCACCTACAAACCATCAGTGGGAACCATCCTTACACACTCATTCAGACAATTTAGCTTACCCAATTCACCTATAGTGCATGTCTTTGGACTGTGGGGGAAAACGGAGCACCCGGACAAAACCCACGCGAACACGGGGAGAACATGCAAACTCCACACAGGAATGCCAACTGGCCCAGCTGAGCGCTACCCACTGCACCACCACGCCACCCTAATATGTGCTATTTTACCTTTTCATTTGTATAGTTATTAAGTGTATAATTAAGCTTTCCTGATAATTTCTTGTTTGGTTACTTGTATCAGTGCATGATGTTTATGGCATGTTATGTATATCTATATGTATTCAAATTATTCATAGTGTATTTACAGGGTTATTTTCTGTCTGACCTAAAATGAACCTAAAAAAGTAAAAAAAAGAAAAACTACAGTGGTCACTGAAAACACCTATATCTATTCAAGTGACAAGCCTAATGGTATGGACAGACTGCAAATAATCAATTATTTTCTAAAGTTTGTTCTAAAATCAGATTCCTAACAACAAACCAAACTTTCAGAATCGAAAATTAAACAGAAAGACTCTTGTCAACAGACAAAAATCTGTTGGCTTTTGAAGAAATGAAAATGAAAGTTTGAAGTAAAATTTTTATTTGTTTAATTTAGATGGTTTTTAATATTTGTTTTCATTTTATTTATGCACAAAACTGGTCAAAATAACAAACGTTTTCATCTAGTGACTGAAAATATTGCTTTCTTAACTCTTCTAAAGTCAAAAACATTAGTATTGTGTTGTTTAAAAAAAGAATATATACAGTCGAAGTCAGAATTATTAAACCGCCTTAATTATTAGCCCCCCAGTTTAATTTTAATCTTAATTTTAATTTTAAATTTAACCCTAATTTCTGTTTCTAAAGTTAATAATTTTAATAACTCATTTCTAAAAACTGATTTATTTTATCTTTGCCATGATGACAACAAATGATATTTGACTAGATATTTTTCAAGACACTTCTATACAGCTTAAAGTATCATTTAAAGCAGGGGTCTCAAACTCAATTTACCTGGGGGCCGCAGGAGGCAAAGTCTGGGTGAGGCTGGGCCGCATAAGGGATTTCACAAAAAAAAGTCCTCAAATGTCATTATTAACAGTTTTAATTATTTCTTCTGAACATGAAGTGTCCTGAACATTAATAGAACATTGAGTGAAGATTATGAACAGTTCTTCTGGCATCTTTTGCCTACTACTTGCTGCCAGAGACTTGACAGCGCTTCTTCTCACAAATCTGAACCACATTTGGCTTTAGAGCGGAAGCAGTTGAGACCCTCAGTATGGCTTGAAGATGATCATCATTAAGTCTAGACCTGTACTTTGACTTATTGAAGTCCTAGGGAAAAAAGTGGGGGAACTCAATCAAAACTTCCATTCCCTCACCTAAAAAAAGGCGTATAAATGTATAAATAAAACACCCCTACCCCACTCCAGTCACATCAGTCTGTACCAGTCTGTATCTACCTATAATATATATAAGATGCAGGGCAGGCACATGCACACATAGGGCTCAACCTGTGCAGAGCACATGCCCTTTTTAGCAGGCACGTGCACACATAGGGCTCAACCTGTGCAAAGCACATGCCCTTTTTAGTCTTGCATAGAAAGTGCCCTTCCAAAATGATCAAAAGTGCCCCCGCGACGCGACACACCCTCGGTCCCGCCCTTCAGTAGGCGCGCGATAACACCGCTCTTGAGTACGCGCGCGACAACACAGCTGATCAGAACTCCAGTCAGAATGCCAGTGACCGCTGTGTACGGATAGAATCAGCGGAGCGGGGAGCGCTCTCTCTGATTCTGTCAGTGTACAGCGGTCGGCGCGGGCCACAAAATATTGCACTGAGGGCCGCAAATGGCCCGCGGGCCGCGAGTTTGAGACCCCTGATTTAAAGGCTTAACTAGGTTAATTGGGTTAACAAGGCAGGTTAGGGTAATTCAGCAAGTTATTGTATAATGATGGATTGTTCTGTAGACTATTGAAAAATTATATATTTATTTTATAATATAGCTTAAAAGGGGATAATAAATATATGACATTAAATTAGTTTAAAAAAAAATTAAAACTGCTTTTATTCTAGCCGAAATAAAACAATTAAGACTTTCTCAGAACAAAAAATATTATCAGACATACTGTGAAAATGTCCTTGTTCTATTAAACATCATTTGGGAAATATAAAAAAATAAAAAAATTCAAAGGGGGTTTAATAATTCTGACTTCAACTGTACATTATGGCATCTTTTTGTTATTATTTTGTGCTCTAAATGACATCACAAGTTTGCAGAAAAAGACAAAAATTATGTTTTAATCAAACATACAACTTTAAACTTCAAAAGAAACTAAGAATTAAATTTTCCCATAGCTGTGTAACACATGATGGCACAATTCCCATCATTAGTGTGTGTGAGAGTGTGTCCTTTTACCCTCTGAGGTCTGTCATTAATGCAGAATGTGACTTTTCCAGTGGGTTCTGGGGCTGAGGGATCAACATTAAGGTCATACATGGAGAAGCGAGGCAGCTGACGTGTGATCTCAAAAACGTGGAACTGTGTACTGCGGTAAATGTGGAAGAAGAGAGAAAAATGCTCCATCATGACATTTCTTTGAAATTCTGTCAATATATATATATATATTTCTTGATGCCTTAATCTCACACTTAAATTAAGCATTAATTTTCAAGCACTGTTGGAAATTATACAAATCTTCTACATGTAATTAATTGGATGAAGTCTGTAATGTACCTTGTCTTTCCTCCCACAAAGGCTTTGATATGAAGGTCCACTGGAATGTCTTTTGGAGGAATAATGGGGACTCGGACACAGCCGGAGAGATTCTGAGCACTAGGGTGAACCACATGACTCTCACCTTCAAAAATCCCTTCAGCAAATATCAGTACGGCTCTAATGATGGTTTCTGGAGGAGGGAAGCACAATTATTATAATATATTACCATCATGTCAATGAAAGCTGCACATGACATGAAATAAATAATTGACATTGCGGTATAAACAATGTTGTACCAATTGTTTTCTCATTTTAGTTCAATTGTGAGCACATTTTATTCATTTAAGTTTGGGTAAATCATGAAAACTTTTTTTTTTCATTTTTGTTTCAGTTTGGCAAGACTTTATGAATGTGTTCCCTCATTTGAGTAAAAAGTGCAGCAATGTTGTTTTTAACTTAATCTCTACTTTTAGTTAAATTATGCTTTCTTTTGAGGGTATATAAAATAATCAGTGAAATTCAATCCCTTTTTTAAGACTCTTTTCATATAATTTAAAACCTTATCGCCACTTTAGGTTTTAATTTGTAACATTGGCAGCATTTTAACTTACAGTATATTAACTAAATACTGATTGTAGGAAACTAATCGTAAACTAAAACATTATTCATGTCCTGAATAAAAATGCTAATCCAGCAGGTAGCACATAGAACAGCAGGAATAACGATGTTGGGTAGGTTACTGCAGTCAACAAAGCTGCGAGATGTCAAATCTAGCATGACTTTGTCGATTTCATAAAATACCCAGCATCCCAATATTCAAAGATTAAATTCAGACAAACTTCAATTTACAACTATACGTTGTATACAAAATATAATACCTTGTAATAATGTTGTTAAAAGTATCAACATTGGTACCAAACTCAATACGTTTGACAACACTACCTTGTAACATAACCTTACATTTCTCTAAATTGATTTATCAACTTTTAACACTTTAAGACGCTGCAGACACCCAGTTTGTTCACTTGTTCCCTTGTTTTTGAAAATTATCACCAAATTGTGGTTTAATTGTTCAATTAACTGTGTTCACTAGCAATTTAAAGACCCAAGATCTAACAGAACATCTGAATGATGAAATAGAACTTCAGAAGAAAAAGATTTATAAATGACATGCATTCTTCTTATAAAGGCCCTTGTATTGTTGACATTATTATATGACAATCTTGTCAATATTCCACTGTCATAACATGTTAATTGCCACATTTTAGCTATAAAAGCATGTCTAAAATAAAACGTATATATAAAACAATTGTAAGATAAATATAATGGCATCACACAACTGAGGATGTTTTTTGGCAGAAATTCAGTTGTTACAGGCTAATTTTATATTATTTTATTGTATAGTTTATCTATGTAGTTATATTACTTAATTATAAAATGTATTATAAATAACGTAAAAAAACATATGATTGACTACTTTTTTTGAATACATACTTTAAAATGTAAACAAAAAACATTTATTTCTTTTAAACTATATACTTATATATAAGATAAGATATATAAACTATTTTTTGAATGTACAGAAAAGGTACTATATCATGAATTATTAGCCCCCTGGTGAAATTTTTAATATTTGCAATCATTTCCCAAGTGACGTTTTACAGAACAGTGAAATTTATGACAGTATTTCATATTATATTTTTCTTCTAGATAATGTCTTTCATTCATTCATTCATTTTGGATTAGTCCGTCACAGCGGAATGAACCGCCACCTTATCCAGCATATTTTTAACGCAATGTATGCCCTTCCAGCAGAAACCCATCACTGGGAAACATCTATACACACTCATTCACACACATACACTATGGACAATTTAGCTTACCCAATTCACCTGTACCGCATGTCTTTGGACTTGTGGGGAAAACAGGAGCACCCGGAGGAAACCCAGGCGAACACGGGGAGAACATGCAAACTCCACCCAGAAATACCAACTGACCCAGCCGAGGCTTGAACCAGTGACCTTCTTGCTGTGAGGCGAACGTGCTACCCACTGCGCTACCGTGACGCCTGGATAAAGTCTTATTCCTTTTTACTTTGCTGGAATAATATTATCATTAGCTCTCTTCAAAAAAGTTTTTCCAATTGGCTACAGAACAAACCACTCCAATGTCTTGCCTAATTTACCTTAATGGCCTAGTTAACCCAGTTAACCAAGTTAAGCCTTTAAATTGCACTTTAAGCTGAATACAAGAATCTTGTAAAATAATGAGTAAAATATTATGTACTGTCATCATGGCAAAGACTAAAGAAATCAGTTCAAGTGTGCGGCTAGCTTAGAACAAGTGGATTATATAACCAACCACAGAGAGAGAACAGCTTAAACTGTACCATTTGGAGTGGAGATGTTGAGCTCTATGTGTGCTTTCTGGCTCTCCGAGGCTCTTCTTACAGAGAGGGCCGTCTGGAGCTGCGTGTTGGCTGGAATTACACCCATCTTAGATTCTCCCTCCGAAAGCCCAGGAAGAGCCTATGTCAAACAAATACCACTAGCCACAACTGCATATGCAACATCAATATGGATCACTTGAATAGCATGTCTAACCTTGGCATTTTCCTCATAGTTTCGTAACTCAAGCATCAAGTTCTGTTTCCGTTGACTCAGCTCTCTGATCAGGTCTTGTTCTATGCTTGAGTCCATAAGGTTTCCCTTCATCTCCTTACTGGCAGGCAGGTAGCCACGTACTGTAGAATGGCACATATATTTGAGCCAATTCACAAAGGTAACAGTCAAGCATTTAAAATAACGGTCCAACGTCTTACCTTCTCCCTCCACAGACGTACATATGAGCTGGATCTGTCCGTCCATCCGATAATCTCCCTCAACAACCCCGGCCACAGAGGATGAGAAGTTATCCTTGAAGATCACCTCACCAGTACGATCACTACGAGCGTCAATCTAAATATGGAATCACAGGAAGTCATCTGATTTTACTAATATAGTATATATATTGCAAGGCAAATGTGTCTATAAGACTGACCTTTCCATTGGACCATCCAGTTATGAGCTCAACAACACCATCAGCGTTAAGGTCAAAAGCGTGGATACTCATGGCATGATTTTTTGACTGTGTGAAACAAAAAAAGAAAGTTAATCCATTTTAAAGCTCAATTTCTTTTGGATATTCAGGTTTAATATTAAATTAGGGTTCCCACACTAAGCCAAATGTCCACTTCTCTGACTTTCACAGACAAAAAAGCTGAATTTCCAAGACCTATAAGTACTGATTAGACAAAAAGATTCATATATCTATAATTGTGTGTTGTCATGTCATATCTGTTTAGGATTCTAGTGCTAAAACCCTAAACAAAGCTGGATTGGAAGTTAGATTGAATTGCCTCAATTATTCTAAGGAGCTAAATTATATTATAACATCAATATAACATTAATTGATACATTAAATAAGGATTCTTTTACATCAATCTAATGAAATTTTTAAATACATGACCGAATGCCAGCTGCAGAGGCAATAAAATGTCACACTTAACAGTAATTATCTCACAGCCTATTTAGATCCATATTTTAATTTGTCAGTGACCATTTATACCATATATACCATAATATAGGCTAAACTTAAATAAAAATATGATTATTATTTTTTATAATAAATCTATTAAAAATAAATATGTAATAAAACATGAAAAAACTGAAAGTTCAATTTGAAATTAATTACAAAAATTCCTCACATTCCATGACCTGGACAAAAAAATTATAATAATTCCCTGACTTTCAATGTCTGGAATAGAACTTTTAAAATTCTATGATATTCCAGAAATTTCATGAATCGTGAGAACCCTGTTAAATGGATAACAATGCACTACCTTGATCCTCCAGTAGCGGGCAGTGCGGTCATACACTCCTACTGTTCCATTGGCCAGAGCGTAACCAAACCTGCTGCCGTGCATGTGGCAAAGCGAAGTGACTGTCTACAAGGAACAGAAAGCGAAAACTAGATAAATAAGAAAGAATTTTCCCACAGAATTGCCAAACAACACGGTTCAAGATATTTCTATATTTCTCATCGCTTATACTGTAATATATCACAGGTTATTTTACTTAACTAACAAACAATCCATAATACATTTTGTTCAATGAAATTGAGTAAATGATCCCTTGGGGAAAATATATATTAAAATAAAAAAACATTTATTTTAGCTAGATGGCAAGTAAATACTTCTCTTTCTTGTTTATTTAACTTAATCCTAAAATAACTGCAACTAAAATTAAAACAACATAAACAATATAAATATACATTTTAAATATATAATAAAATTATTACAAATTATTTAAAATAAAACACAAAACATATAAATAAAAACAAATTTAATATATTCATAAAAACTACAATATAGTTACTAAATTATAATAATAAAATAGCACTGATTCCTACCTCATTTTCTGCCATCTCAGTCACCAGTTCATCCTCTTTAAACACCCTGATGTCAAAGTCTTCTGAGCCAACAAGAAGCTGGAAAGACAGAACATGGGGAATTATAATATTTAAAAACTGTGAACATTATTATGAAATAAAAACAAAAAGCATAATGCCTCACCTCATTCTTGCCATCTGCAGTGAAGTCACAAAGCACAAGTGACCGAACATTATCTCCAGTGACCTTTAAAAAGCGTAAATATTTACCTTTAACATATTGCTAGTTCTCAAATAATAATTTAATACAGCCATCAAAATGATCTTACTGTCCAGAACAGGTCATTTCCCTCATAGTCAAAGCCTTGAAGAGCACAGTTTCCTCCAATGATGGCAAGGGGTGATTGAATATCTCCTAGTTTTCCCAAAACAATGGCATTAGCCCCATCGGTCACCTGTTATGCAATAAAAACGCAACAAACATTTCTGGTTTATTTTAGTTAATAAAAAAATCATATGGATTTTTTTTTTCTCTGAAAATACCAGTCATATTATTTAAGCTTCATTTTTCACACAATGGTAGTCTAAGTTTACTTGAAATATAATAGTTAAGCCATGGTCGGTCACACTGCACTTTTCGCCCCTTAGACTTCATACGCACACAAATGAGGCAGACTGGAAACGCAAGCTCATGCAAAAAGTTTCCACAGTTCACTGCGTTGCAAAGTTCAAGCTTGGTGAACTCTGACCTGTAAAAATCAAATCTTGTTACTGCGTGAGACCAATCGAAGACGAAAGTATGACTTCTCTAAATTAAAAATATGGACCAATTGCTCGCTTTTTTATATCTTATCATCTTGTTCAATCCCGCCCCTTTTAGCATGTGTATGTCTTGTTTTCAGAAAAAAAAAATCAGCTAATTTCTCATTAAATCAAGAAAAATAAACTAAAACAACTATTTTACTCAACCTAGTGGCAGATTATTTGTTTTTTAAATAAAACTTGATTTTTTTTTCTTTTGTTTTTTCCTTTTTTATAAAATGCTTCTTGATTTAAAAGGGGTGGTAGAAAGTGTATTTTTAAGACTTGGTTGTTTTCATAAGATGCAAAGCAATGTGTGCTCATGCTTCATTTGTAAATCACATTATTTTTTCTTATATCTTAATTTGACTGTAGCTGCTTAGCTAAAATGAAAACAACTGTTATTTTTCCTAGTTCCTCCAAAATGCCCGCCCTCAAGAGGCTCTGATTGGTAAGCTAACATAATGTGCTGTGATTTGGGGATCGGCTCCACATCACCAGGAAAAGCATCACGCCCCTACAAGCACGCTCTTTTGCGCTGTGTAAATACAGTCAGTCAGAGTAGCTGTTAGCGGTATTAGTTTGAGACTGAACCTCATGCCTCTTCTGTAAAATAAAATTTAAAAAAAAGTGTCTTCAAAATATATTTGCGTAATAAGCATGTGTAAGTAATATGAAACTTTCACTTATATATTGCGAGTTTATTATTTGAGATGTAGAATGCATGGAAAGCGGCCGCATAGAGCAACACTGCAGCGCTGGTGAAGATTGTGGGTGTTTGAAGGATGAATATGAATTTATAGCTAAATTGTTAACTGTGCCGAACAGCATTTTCCCGTTGATTACATCCTTGTTTAAGTCCTTGCTACAACATACCGTTAATGCTAGTAACTATTCATGTAATAGATCAATTTTAACAAATAAAAATACTTGTTGTGGCTCACAATCCACAGCTTCTATTATGGTTGGAGCTACTCCTTTTTAAAGGAGTTTTTAGCCGAATCCAGCACTAAACTGGGAGAGATTCTAGAAGCTGTCCTTTGTCAAATGCTAGCTATATAAATTTTTATAATTATCTGGAACATAATTAAAATTAAACTGTAAGCACATCTCTCTTTGTGTTGTGCTCTTTGGAAGCTCAAATACACAAACAGAACAAGCTCTATGGAAATAGCAGCGTTTGGACAACTTTTTAGCTTTCTCTGCTATAACATTGCAGCGCCTCTGGTCATGCCCCTTTGTCTATGCACATGGTGAATGCATGCAACCTGAAGCGTTTGTGATTTCACTAGCCCGGGTTTATTTTTTGTAGTCCCCAATCTTTGTTTGCTGTCGGCTTTGCTATGCTAATTCTGTAAAAGCTAATGTCTCCCTTAGCATTGAACTTTGAGCGTATTACATTCAGAGATGTTGCTTATGTTCACATAGCTACATTACACATCAACTAAAGTTTAAAATATGATATCGTAGTGGACCACCCCTGTAAATTGTTTAGATATTTGGACTAGAAATAAAAAAGCTCTAAGGAAGAAAAGCATTTTTGCATAGTAAAAGTTGACATTTGTAATAAAAAACTTCTGTATTTTTCATTTCAACAATGCAGTTTGATTGTCACGGTCTATGGTAAGGTATTATTTTTTACAAAATGAGGTTTAATATCTGATATCAACAACTTAAGTAGGAAATCCACTCTAAATTAGGGATTTTATAAACAATCACGTCATGTTACCTCCTTGTAAAAGACGTCGGTGTTGTCATGAACGTCATAGGCCAACAGGTTGGTTTGAGAGCCTACGAGCAGCGTGTCCCCTGTGCTCTTTGGTCCTAAAGTGCCAGCGGTCAGACAGCTGACTGACTGGTTGATATTAAGCAGTGAGATGTCCGAGTCCTGGGTGCTTTGACTCAACCGGTGGGCTGTTGGTCTCTGGGCTCGAGTGTGAGGGTTGTGGATAAACACCTGGATAGGTTTAAAAATAAAAACTGGATTGTAATGTGTGGGAAAAATGCAAATGAAACCCTAGAAAATTATATGCTAAGTTCAGTTAACTTATTGCATATTAAATATCAACTTTAATAGCAAATGCACACACTCAAGAGCACCAAAAGATGCTGCTTGTTAATTTGTAAAGAGGATAGAGGATTAAAACTGGCATAGCTAAAACTTCTATGAAGTCCATTCTAATCACATACAACAAATAAGGACAAAATTGGCACTGCTCTCTGTATGAATATATTTGAACTCTGGATCTATTTACATTAGCTGTATTTGAATTGGGATACATACTATGTAATTCTTTTACTTTACCTTCCCTGCTTGTGTGGCTGCGGTAAGGCATGGATGTATTCCATCATACTTTCCAATAGCAACCATTCGAGGATTTATTTTATGGTTCAGTTTAAGTGTGAAGATGGGCACTAGCATTGTGGCTCAGCTAGAAGTGCAAGATCAGAACTGCTCCTGTCAAACACAATAAACAGATGTTATTACAGCGATGAAGTGAACATAGGGGGAGTGAGCTTAGCATGCACAAAGCAATCCCAATAATCTCCTACATGGATCAGACATCAGAAAACATAAAGTAAAAAAGTACAATAAGTATTATACATCAATAATAGTTATATTTTTTATACAACATATATTTAAATATACAAAAAATATAAATAATTCTGCCTGTAACTTGTTAATTAATAATGAAACAAGAATTATAGGGGATTTATGACAAGACTATAAAACATGTTAAATGATCTGAGTACAGTTGGGTTATGGAAGTTAACCGTAATAGTTATTTGATTTACATATTGTGTATCAAACTTTCACATCCCATATTATAGTCATTTTAGATAGACTAGTATTTTTGTAGGTCCATACTCAAAGGCTTGCAAGTGTTCTATTTAAGGCACATCTGCTGCGTACATATCACTTATAAAACATGTGGCCTGACCTTAAGCTTGTCGTCCTCAAAAAAACAATATAATAAAATCATACAATAAAAAAAAATCATAAAATCATACAATTAATTAAATGATAGAACAAATCATTGAACACTGCCAGCAATGATGTCACTTCATTTGAGTCATAGCCTTAAAGATGTATTACATGCATTTTATGTTTAATTTAAGGCAGATGATACAGGACTGACCGAAACATGGAGACAATTGTAAACTTTTAATTAAATTATAGTATTTGTATGTAGAATTTATTAATAATTTCATGTTTTTAATTGATTGAGCTGAATGACAACAACTTAAACTTGCTTTTTCAGATTTTTTTTTCTAATTAACGAAACTATTAAAGCTGTAGGTTCAATTGAGTTGAGGACAAGGACAATGACAGGGTTTTTACAATAGAAAAACAAATGTGACAATCAAATAAATGACATATTCCTTTACAAAAATCAACCATCAGTCCATTTTAGAAATTTTTGGGAAGAAATACTTTTTGTTCCCTGTATTTATGTTTTTTATTTCAGGGACAGACAATGTACATTTCTGGTAGAATGTCCCACGTACTATAAACATTGTTGCACTAATATCTCTGCCAAACAAACCATTAAAAATGCAAAGAAATTAAATGTGCAAGAATATAAATTACCTAAAACGACTGTTATAGCAAAGGTAACGTAGAATGATTCACAACACGACACATCCATCCTGCTGACAATATCGAAGCTTTAGCATTGCTGTCAGTGGTGCATCTTACTACCCCTTCTCTCGGGTAATAGAATAAACAGCTTACTGTGCTTTTCGCCCGATGGGATTCTGTTGCCTAGCAACAGTGGGCAGCTTGTCGCGGCATTAGCGAGACACTTTTGCTAGCATGCTATTGTGCTAATCCTTTCAGTTTACACGTCTGCTCATTTGTGTACTATTTCACTTTGCTGATACGAACTAAAACTAAACCAAACTAGAAAAAAAATAACTCTGCCAAGCTATTTAAATAAAAAACGAAGTTAGCCGAATGCTGCAGAAGCTCTCTGTGCTCTGGCTAATGGAGCTAACTCTGCGTAACTACACAATATTCGTGTACAATCACTTTATACTGTGATACGAGATGTTTGCATATAGTTATTACCTTTACTGCAATGAGCTACAAAAAAAGGAAAAGTGTCTTACCGCTGCCGCCAGCTTGTCTTCTACCAGGTGCAGTAGCTATTCGCCCTGTTACCTAGCAGGACAGACTGATGCCCATAACTTGGAGAGGATTTTTTTTTCATGATGTCTAGTGAGCACGCGCGGGGATCTTGAAAACCAGAAAGGCCATTATAAAAGCTGACAGCTGCCATCAAGAATTGACTGCTTGAATTGTTTGTAAGTATGTTGGAGAAGCATTTCAATCATGGACACAAATTATTTGGATTCTTTAGACATGTACTGGTAATAAAAATGTATTTTAATTAGAATTTTTAATTCTTAATCCCATTACAACTCTACATCTTCAGTTTTTTTTCTTTTTAATGCAACCACATTTCTAATTGTCAAAAAAAGAAAAAAAGTTTTAAATATTATAATTATTATAATAACTTCTGAAAAAATATTTGAACAAATAGCACATCCGTTTATAGAATGTGAATGGATGATTGATGTTCCTGAAGTTAATTTATGGAAAATAAATACTCTTTTACTAAATTTATAACTAAAGTGTTTGATGTATTAAAACAATTAAATAATTTTGACTAAGAAAAAACTTTTATAATAATAGCCTACTGGTGTTACTGCGAAAATATTTTGATAATAAAAGAAATTTCAGAGAACATTAGCCAAGAAAAGTCACTTCCACACTTCTAATCTTTTAATTAAAATGCTATAAGTAGGCCCACACGGAATCTGCGGCCACAGATTTCCGCTGATTTTTAGCCCATCATTGAGTCTGTTTATTCACTTGAATAAATGTGTGTAAATTTAAATGTATTCAGTTTTTAAACTAACTTCAGTAATATTATTGACTAATATGAAAATACAGTTTGTAAAGTAATATTTTCTATCTTTTTGGAGATATATTGTATAAGAGACTCATTGCTTTGTTTGCAAAATAAAGTGAATGTAATTGGATTAGCATTGTAAACATTAAATACAACTTTAAAAAGTATTATTTTTTTGTTTTATATTCTAGGGTTTAGTTATGATACTCCTTAAATAATTCTGCATAAATCCGCAGATTGCAAAAAATGTCAGCAGATTCTGTCTGGCCCTGGTTATAAGTCATGTTAAACTGTGAAATTACTTCAGCTACTTTTGTTTAGTTACATTTTGTGCCTCTGTTTAACCAAACAAGTCACATGTTATTTCCTGATAAGGTTGCAAATTGGAAAGGCTTGTAAATAAATATTAAAATAATTATTTTGTAGAATCTGATACTTGTCAGTCAATCTGTAAGTGTTGGTTTGTGAATCCTTTCAATTAAAAATTTGGTGTGAATGCATAATTCACTTCAGTCATGACAGCATTTGAAGGGGTTTCTCATAGTCCAAACAACAAGAGACATGAGATGAAGAATAAAAAAATATAGAAAATTATTATTAAATATTTAAAAAGCTCATGAATAAATGTTTTCTTCTTGTAGAATCTGATACATTTTACTCAATTTGTGAGTGTGAATTAAAATAGCATATAAACTCCAATCTTTGGTGAAATTCTAAGTGTGAACGCTTCAATGGAATCATGATAGCTGACATTTGAAACAGACATTTCAGTGGTTTATTATGGAAAACAACAAAAGGCAAAAGACAAAGAACTAAAAAGTATTATTAGATGTACATCTTGATCCCTCTCAATAACAGATTTAGGTTTACCTCAGCTAAATTTACATGATTTATACTAATTCACCTTATTTAGTTTTGCATGAAACAATTGTAAACAATGATTATTTAGCCAGTTACCTTTTTCAAAGCTTCCTCAACACTGATTAGTCTACCAAGCAAATTATCGTTATTTATTATTTAACATTCATGTGAACATTTTGATTTCTAAAACTGCAGAGACACTGCACACGTTACTTCAGTTTGGTTCCAATTGAATGACTAATGGAAAATTACACCCGGTCAACAGCAGAAATCGGGTGCAAAATTAGTTTACTTAAAGTTTTTTGCAGAATCTGATACTTGTCAGTCATTCTGTATGTGTGAAATAGAATGGCTTGTGAATCTTTTTGGTAAATTAAGGTGTGAATGCATGGCTCACTTCAGTCAAGCTGTTTTACAGGCAAAGGGGTTTCTCGTAACGCAAAGCAACAAGAGACACGAGACTAAGAATAAAAAAATATATATTATTAAATATTGAAAAAGCTGATATTAAAACAGCATATAAACCCCAATCTTTAGTGAAATTCTAGTTGTGAATGCTTCACTTGAATCATGATAGCTGTTTTACAAACGTTTAAGTCTGTTATTATGGAAAATAGCCAAATGCACAAGATGAAGAACTAAAAATGATTATTAAATAAACATCCTGGTCCCTCTAAAGTTTTACATGAAACAATTGTTAACAATGATTAGCAGGTAAAATGACAGATTATAGTATTTATTGTTTATTGTAATGAACATTTTAATTCTTAAAAGTTGTCTACCCCCCTAAAAAATTCCAGAGAGACACTGCACACGTTACATTAGTTTGGTTCCAATTGAATGGCTAATGGAAAATTACTCCCGGTCAACAGCAGAAATCGGGTGCAAAATCAGTTTACTGTTTACTGAGGGCCTGAACCGCATCTTCGCCGAGTGCAGACAGGGGGAGCACGTGCTGTCACACACGGTCACGTCACACTCACAGTTTCATGTCAGTGCCGTGCGCAAAGAATGACAACTGCAAACAATTACATATGAGATAACAAATCTAAAATTAAGAAAAAAGTGTCTCCGTGGGCATATTGTATGTTTCATGCCTTCGATAGGCATGTGACTGGAATAAAAGCAACTTATTATGCTCAAATACGTGTTTTAATGTTTGCTTTTCTCTATTTCAATAGTCTTAATAGCTTAAAAAAAGAAAGAAAAAAAATGAGATACAGTTTGAAACCAGTAATATAAAGTTCTTGTAAAAACCGAATTGAAGGTGACTAACTGTCGATCGAACGCCGATAAAGGAAAACAACAAAAGCATCAAGTTATATAATCATGTAAACAAACAGCAATCAATATTCAACAAGTAGAGTGGAAATAGTTATATAATCTTATAAACAACACGTTGATGTGACATGGTGGGAACGGTGATTGCTGATTGTTTGCACCCAGTGTCATTAACGAGTCACCGTGTGCAGGCTGGAGCGGGCGGGCTTTTGCACTCGGTCTGCGCGCAGTCAGAACTGTATAAAAGCAGAGCACAAACACGCCTCCAGCATCAACTCATTCACAAGCTGAGTGAACGATATTTCTAAGGAACTTTCAAGCTCTTTGTGGATACTCTCTGGAAAAATGGACCCCTGCGAATGTGCCAAGAGTAAGTGTTTCAGCTGATGCATTTAGTGTTGTTTCTCAAGATACTTTAGAGTTTATTATGTCCCTTTTTAATACCTGTCTGTCTTATTTTGAAGCTGGAACTTGCAACTGTGGTGCTACCTGCAAGTGCACTAATTGCCAGTGTACTACCTGCAAGAAGAGTATGTATTTGCCTTTTTAAGTTCCTTCTGGGGAAACCAAGTTTTTATCTGAGTAAATTTTAAACAATGTGTTTTTTTTTTTTTTTTTTTTTTTTTTTTTTTTTTTTTTTTTTTTTTTTTTTTTTTTAATTGTCTAATGATTTGGTATGGGTCACACCTCTCCCAAAAATGTTTCTCAATTTGAGGTACTTCTGTTATTCACTAATTATGAACAAAGATGAGCTTCTATTATTTGACTTTCATAGTAGGAATAACTTAAGTTGGGTTTTTATTTGCACCTTTCGTTAATTTTGATGGTCCCTATATTATTAAACTTATTTAAATATTAAGTCTGAATTGGCATGCTAGGTTTACGTAAAAATTAGCATGAATTATTTGACTGGGCAATGTTGTACCTATGGCCATTGGGTGGTAAATGCGATTTCACTACTTGGAGTTTGCTAAGAATCCTTTATTGAAGTTATATTAAGTATAATGTCTGATTATGGGATTTTTTTTTCTTCTTTTTTTATTAAATGGGTAGCTTATGTTTCAAAACCCATTTTATAATGTAGTTCAACAAGCCCCCTAAATATTTAAAACAAAGGCTGAGTTATGGTTATTTTTGGATGAACTATTAAGATTAGTTTAAAATAAACTAATTTGGTGGCTTACCTCTTTCCCAGGTTGTTGTTCTTGCTGCCCATCTGGTTGCAGCAAGTGTGCCTCTGGCTGCGTCTGCAAAGGCAATTCCTGTGGCTCCAGCTGCTGTCAATGAAGAGGTCAACGTGATGTTTTCTACAATGTGAATCTGTTTGTCTACTCCACGTCTGCGTTTTGCATCGCATGATTGTCTTTTTTTTTTTATTTTTTATTACAAGATGATAAATGACCTCTTTGTTCTCAATCTTGTCTGTTTAATGTTGCAAAAATCGTCTAACAAAGGCTAAAGAGGGAAAACGATGCACTGATTTGTACTGCTGCAAATAAGACTATCACGAGATGTCTTTAAAATGAAACTATTGTACGTTTTTCTGCCATGTCCTTTGTCTAAAATAAATGGTGGTATTTATTTTTGTGTGGCTTGTTTTTGTAATTATTGGTATAGAGTCCTTGCCAAACATTTATGCAAAAAATGAATAAAATAAAAGTGAGGTTGCTTAATTGACTTAAAAAAAAAACAAAGTGGGATATACACAGAATCTTCTTGACAAAGCTAAACCAATGTGATTTATTGATATAAACAAGATTACTTCTGTAAATTTATTTAAACAACGTTTTGATAGTTGATGTCCTTAGGTTTGTTATACACCTAAATATTGTAAAAATTTCAAGGCATAACACTAAGGAAATAATTTGCTTACCATTTGGTGTTAGTTTAATGAGACTGCATGGAATGCTTTTTTTCTTTTTTTTTTTCTTTTTTTTTTTTTTTTTAAATCCACCTATGCTTTTGTGTGCCATAATCTCTACTTACTGTTTGCCTGTTTTTGTTCATGATATAATATCTTGGCGCCAATAGCTAGACTGTACAATAGGGCCTATAAGATCTACAATAAACTTTCTGGATGGACACATCACTGTTAGGCTCCATCACTCTCTAAAGCTTTATCATTTCAAAATTACATTATGATCAAGAATTACTGTAAAATTTTAAATAGTGCTACCTCAGCAGCCCTTTGTGCTCGGTACCAAAACTTAACGCAAGGACTAATTGTTCCACCATATCTGCAACAAATGAATGTTTGTCATTACCGACTTTTAAAAACTGTTATGAACACAGATCTCTCTTTTTTTTTTTTGTATTCACAAAAGCCTGGAATGAGATCCCACAACATCTAAAACAATAACTCTAAGACTTTTCTAAAGCCTGTCATCTGATGGTCAACTATCAATATAGCCACTGAGTTAGTAGCCTGCTTTCCTCTATTTTGTATGTTTTGTGATTGTTTCTACTGTTCTCATGTGTTGATGGATGCGATGGCAAGTGTGTCTGTATGTTTTTGTTATGCAGAGCAGCAACCTGCTGAAAAACAGTATTAATGCTGAGTCAGGCCTGATTATCTTTTAATCTTTTCCTGTTTAAAACATTTTAAATAAGATATATAAATATATATATTAAATTTCTTTGAATACTTTCCATTGTAGTCTTATTATTGCTTCTTAACAAACAATATTTTTGTCTCTGATAACAAAGTTGTGTGTGTGTGTTATATTTTTACTATTCTATTTAAATTCTATATTTTATTTAATATTACAATACAACAATGCTACTAGTGTCAATTTTATAAATTTCTTTATTTTCTAAGTTTATTGGGTATTGGTCGGTAATCTCAGGGTTTCAAGTAATATTACAGAAATTGTGTCTGACATGATCTTTATAAAGGTTCTTGTCGCGGGGGCTTCTGGGAAAAAACTGTTTGAACCAATCAGCGCGCTCTTTCAATGGAACCCGGGAGTTCACGAGGGGGATGTGTTTAGCATAGCGGCTAAAGCGAAATTATCCTATTGTAGCCACTAGAAGGATTAACAAACAGCGAGGTGGGTTGTTACATATTTATTAACTAATCAACTAGTTAATACCTAATAATTATAGTTGCTTTTGACAGGTGTGTTTTTTGCCGCGTTTGCCGACAGCACCTCATGTCAAGTTAGCTTGCTAGCCAGTAACTGAGTTCTGCTGAGTGCTGTGCTTACTAACTTACATTGTGCTAGTGTTAATGTAAATAAATCTTAAACAAGCACACACATACACACACACACGCACACACACACACACACACACACACACACAGAGAGCTATATTCATTTATTACGAGTAATCTACTAATGACTGCGTTAGTTTAATTCTCCTGTGTATAATCTCTTAATCATGTCACTGACATACCAAAGTTAACATGATAGTGATATGTGACATAAAACAAGATCCAGTTATTTCTTTGCAGTCATAATCCATTAATATGAAATTTGTTGGTTTATTAGTCTCAGTTTCATTTAGACTGTTTTAAGAGATTGAGATAAAGTTGATTTTATATTTCACCTTAATTCATAACATTAACATTATCAGTTAATATAATAGTACTGTTGTTTTTAAGTCATACTTTCATACAATTTAAAACTGAATATTCAAAGTAGCATGTCACAATGTGTCCTTGTTCAAAAATGAACTAATGTGCAATATAAAACCAACTTTGCCCCAGTCTTTGAGAGTTGTAGTGAGTGATTATAACTAACTGGTATTGGTTCATATCAGCATTTAATACAGACACTCAACTCTTCTGTTCCTGGCAGGTGGAACGGGTGCTGGACATGGATACTGAGGGTTTCGGGGAGCTCTTGCAGCAGGCAGAACAGCTTGCAGCAGAGACTGAGGCCGTGTCCGAGTTGCCCCATGTTGAGCGAAACCTTCAGGAGATCCAGCAGGCAGGGGAGCGTCTGCGTTCTCGTACTCTCACCAGAACCTCTCAAGACACCGCTGACGTAAAAGCGTGAGTCTTCAGTTTGGCATCTGCGTATAATCTGAATTGAGGTAAAGTTGGTTTTATATTCGCACATTCAGACTTTCTCCTTGATAATATAAATTTAGAAAATTATTATTTGCAAATTTAAATAAGGAAATTATATTAACAGCCAATGACTATCAAAGTACACCATTGTTTACAGTTTTTTTTTTTTTGTTTTGAAGTCATATTTAACTGCTATTTCAGACCCAATATTCAAATTAGTGTGGTAAACAATATAGGAAACGTTAAATGAACAAATGTGCGAATTTAAAACCAACTTTACCTTAATATACACTGGCATGGCTGAAAAGGACTGGTTAACCACAAAATTAAAACATGTTGGCAATTTAGTCACCCTCAAGCAATCCAACATGTATCTGACTTTTTATTTTAATTTTATTTTATGTTTTTAAGAAGTTGAATATTTTAGTAAACACCACGGTGGTTGCTGCATTCATTTGTTTTGCCTGTATGTGTTAGTTTTCACAACATACATCATGATATTTAGGATTAAATCTGAGAGCTCCCTCATACAATGGTTTCAAGACAGAGTGTGTGCTTGCTTCAGCCCCCCTTTGCCAGGACATGGAGTCCAACATAATAAACATCTACACCTACCACAACACTAAATCTGCCCCTTACAGTAATTTGTTGTGTTTTGTTAAAGTATACTCTTTGGGTCTGTTCTTCGTACGTGGATTACTTAGTTAGCTGAATTTGGTTATTGATGATTTGACACCATCCAGGATCATTTCGTGCTTTAAAACTGATTCGAGAGTTGCTGTCATAGAAACAGTTCGGGTAGCTCAAACCTGCTAGGGAGCAGGCTTATTTCATATAATCAAGTTTAGGTCAGGTCAGTTTAGGCAAAGATAGTACTGAAAGTATGTACCAAATGCAGATATTTTCTTACATTAGTAGTTATATACACTTGGGAAAATTGTTTATATATATATATAAATATAATATATTATATAATATATTATATATATTATATATATATATATATATATATATATATATATATATATATATATATATATATATATATATATATATATATATAAAGTTATTAATAAAACTTATGCAATCTGCAATTCAAAATAAAAGTACAAAGACTGCCACCCAATGGTTCAAAGAGAACATTTATTGAAATGAACTTTTTAGATTGCTTTAATACAATTTGTGTGTAATAGACATGCATAGTTTAAAAAATAAATAAATAAATATGCAGTCATAAACATGCTTTGACAGCTAATATGATGGTGATTTGATGCTTTACAAAAGTTACAGACACCTTTACCAATATCAAAATCCTTTTGTAAACATCTAGTTATTCTTTACACCGATTAAGAAACCGGCTACTATACTACTATATGCATACTTTAGTAAAGAAAATATGCTCTAACAATAAAACTAAATAAATTGCTAAATACTCTTGACACATGAAAGGGTAAAGCCTGTAGCCCATAACAAAGGTGGAAAGTTATTGCGTATCATATTTAAAAAAACGTTTTTTATGAATTTTATGTTATTTTGCTCACAAGGATAATCGAATATAAATCAGGTGATGTCATTACATTGCTTTGCTGTCAGCCAATGGTTGCATTGCTGATCATGATTTTATGGATGAATAGATCTGTCCTTCACAACACACGCAGCGATCTCAGATCAGTTTATCCAGACATTTTAATCTGATTCACAAACTTGTTTAAAAAACCAAATTAGCCAGAAATCAGTTATCAAGATTAACAGATCCAGGATCTGCTATATCATCTTAGATTATTTAAGCGAGGTACAAAGAACGAACCCCAGGGCTGCACGATATATATGACGTTGCAATATTTTGTTTGTTTGCGATTATGTATTGCAATATTTTCACAAGATTGTGAATTATAAACCTATTTGGTAAAAAATGTATAATTTTATATCGATTGGGATTAGGGTAGCGCAGTCGCCTCACAGCAAGAAGGTTGCTGGTTTGAGCCTCGGCTGGGTTAGTTGGCATTTCTGTGTGGAGTTTGCATGTTCTCCCCGTGCTTGAGTTGGTTTCCTCTGGGTGCTCAAGTTCCCCCATAAGTCTAAAGACCTGCACTAAAGGTGAAATGGGTAGGCTAAATTGTCCGTAGTGTATGAGAGTGTATGGTTGTTTCCCAGTGATGGGTTGCAGCCGAAAGGGCATCCGCTGCGTAAAACATATGCTGGATAAGTTGGCGGTTCACTCTGCTGTGGCAACCCCTGATTAATAAAGGAATTAAGCCGAAAAGAAAATGAATGAATGAATGAATGAATGGGATTATATTGTAGGTGAGCACATCTTCACATTGCAAGTTTTGGACTATAGCAGCTTTGCACATTGCGATATTGATAATAACACAATATTGAGCAGCCTTTGTCTACACCTAGAACAACCCTAAACCTACCTCTTTTAGTTACCTAATGCGTTTTATTGAAGTCTAAAATTACTCTTACAGTAACCTGTTGTGTTTTATAAATGTCTACTACACCTATCATAAGCCTAAACCAACCTATACATTAAACTGTTGTGTTTGTTAACACCTAAACATAC